TTGCAAATAATTTTCTAAAATAATTATGTAGAAATGGAAATGTTATTTTTTTAAGTTAAAAACAAAATTGCTCTCTAAATTATTCTTATCACCGCTGTCCTTTTTATTCAATAGATAGTACTGTGGTTTGAATATATGAAATAGATACAGAAACATGCTTTTCCCATGGTATGTGCTGACTAGAAGTGATTATTATTTAACATAAGTGGAGGTCTCTGGTCAGTAGCCAATTGGCATTTTATAGTAGCAAAGTGATATAAAAAAAAGTGATTTAAAAAAGTGATTTTTCCAGGTCAAATAAGATCCCAAACCCACTCCTTTTTGTATACCATCCAAAGAATTTTCCAGTTCTTAAAATATAGAATGGGTAAAGATCTTCACTAACCTCACATCTGACAGAGGGTTAATCTCCAAAGTATATAAAGAACTCAAGAAACTAGACATCAAAATACCAAACAATCCAATTAAAAAATGAGCTACAGATCTAAACAGAAAAATCTCAACAGAAGAATCTCAAGTGGCCAAAAGACATTTAAGGAATTGCTCAACATCCTTAGTCATTAGGGAAATGTAAATCAAAACGACTCTCAGATACCATCTTACACCTGTCAGAATGGCTAAGATCAACAACACTGATGACAGCTTATGTTGGAGAGGATGTAGAGCAAAGGGAATACTCCTTCACTGTTGGAGGGAGTGCAAACTTGTACAGCCAATTTGGAAATCAGTATGATGACTTTTTAGAAAATTGGGAATCAATTTACCTCAAGACCCAATGATACCATGCTTGGGCACCCAAGAGATTCTCAATCATACCACAAGGAGACTTACTCAACTGTGTTTATAGCAGCCTTTATTCAGTAATTGATGGAAGCAGATGCAGAGATCCACAGCCAAACACCAAGCCAAGCTCCAGCAGTCTAATAGAAGAGAGTAAAGAGGGATTATATGAGCAAGGTGGGGCGGGGGGCATGTTAAGATCATAATGGGGAAATTTACAGAAACAACCAGACCAAACTACTGGGAACTCATGAACTTTAGACCAACAGCTATGGAACCTGCATGGGACCAGACAGACTAGGCCTTCTGCATGTGGAGACAGTTGTGTAGCTTGGTGTGTTTGAGGGGTCCCTGGCAGTGGGATCAGGGTCTATCCCTGGTGCATGAGCTGGCTTTCTGGAGCCCATTACCTTTGGTGAGACACTTTGCTCAGCCTTGATGCAGGTAGAAAGGGTTTGTTCCTGCCTCAGCTGAATGTACCAAGCTTTGCTGACTCCCCATGGGAGGCCTTACCCTTTTGAAGGAGAGGATGGGGGGTGGATCAGGGGAAGAGCCTTGGGGGGAGCAGGTTGAGGGATGAGAGGACAATCTGTGGTTGGTATGTAAAATGAATAAATTAACATATATATTATATATATATACTCTATCAAAAATATTTCCCCCTCAACACTAATTAATTCAGTTATTCAAAAATTTATATGAACTTATTGTTTAATGATTTAAGGTGTGGGAGCAATTTACAAATATTCAGAGCCATCACTATTTGATTACTTATTATTATAACCTACCCGAAGAAAAGATTGTTAATTGATCTGGCATCTGTGATTTGCTGTTTCTTGCCTTAATCTGAAGCTTTGAGAGATGCATTGTCTTGAAAGACTAAAGGGAATTTTATTTCATTAGATTATTTTACTGGGCTAAGCAGTACATAAGAATATGTTAGCTTTTAGTTTCTCTCTTAAAGTGGTCATTAATGATGGGACCTACTTACATCCCCTTATATTGATAATTTTCTATAGGCTGCTCCCTATAAGATTATATGTTTGAATCAGTTATTGTGAGTTTTCATGATATGGGTACATCAAATATTATTAATGATGACCTATTTTATAGTGAAGTTTACTTTAAAAGGTGCTTCCTATTTATAGTACAAACTAGTGAGGGTAATATCTCTTGGCCAGCAGTTTTTCTTTTAAAAACATCCCTTGAAAGATCCTATTCTGTAGAGAGAAGCATTGTTCTGCTTGTGCTTCCAATAAGATATACCCCTAAAGGTAAGAATATCCATGGATAAAGTATAACACGGGACTACAGTTAAGTGAGGTCACACAGATCCTTTTGAGTTTTGTGGTTGTTCTAGTTGCAATGACTAGAGGTACTGTATCGTAAGACAGGTCAATTTTCCTTGAAGAACCTTCCTATTGTTAAGTTTTCAATGCTCTTAAATGCACTTGATCTAATGACAACAGTAAAATAAAATAAACGAAATATAACAATGCTTGTCACCAAAGCCTGGTTTGGCAAATATTTTACATTCCTCTTGTTTTGAGATATGAGGAATTTTCAGATAGTTTGTGATTCTTTTATGTGGCCTCTGCTTCCAAAGCCTATTTAAAGTTCTCTTATGTTTCAGTCTTGTTCTATTTTAAGGCAGATCTCTACTTGATCAGGCACAATTGTAATAATCAAAGACATAAATAATATGACTTACCGGGCACGGATTTTACTGTGAGCTTTATATACTCTGACTTTAGACTCATGTTGTCCTCAAATGCACGTTTGAAGAACATATTCCCTAAGTACCCATAATGTGCATTTGGGCACTGAATATGTACTGAAAAGATTCCAAGGCACAAAATATATCTCAGGAGACAAATTTGCTTTTATCAGTAATCTAGGAGTGTCAGGAGTTTAAATCAAAGTTTAAGAGAGGAATATATTTTTAGAAGCAGCATATGAGGATGGATGTCTGAATTGCAATCTGTTAAAAATAATGTATATACATATTTGCGCATATATAGGCAAACATATGTATCTATAAGTGAACATGTATGTTTAGTGCAACAGATACAAACATAGATACTATGTTATTAATCTTGGATACTATTAAGAATACGAGGTAAGGTATATCTTTAAATATAACTTTGTAGGTTTTTTTCCAAGATGTTTTTGTAGTTTCATAGATAATGTCTTTCTTGACTGACAAAATTATGACATTGATATATCACTCAAAATAAACTGACTGCAAAATGGAAAGTCTCAGAAGTTGCATGTTGTTTTAGAATTAAAAAAAAATTACCCACTTGTCACTCATTGGAAAAAACAGCATTTCATGCTAAAGAGTGAAATGTAAGAGAAAAAAAATGAAGGGAAATAATACTTCATTTTTACATTATTTGAAATCATTTGTTTTGGAAAGCTAAGGCATAAATCAAATGTGCCTTTTCTAAAACATGATATTTTCTCATTATGTACTTTATATTTATGTATTTTTTATATTTAGTCTATTTGTATATAAATCATAGGTTTGCTTATTAATAGTTTTTTCTTTGCTGTTCTTATAAATGAAATTGCCGTAGCTTAGCACCAAGTGTAGCCTAGCAACAAACAGCTTTCTAGCACATAAGATATGTGGTGCTATGGAAAAATTTCTGAGCTTAAAAAATTTTGCTCATGTGTATTATTAAAGTCTTCTTATTTTTTTGACAACTGAATTAAAATATTGAATTTCACACTAAGTAATATTATTGACTGCCTCCTTCATTCAGGAAATACTGGAATCTTTCTCAGATTTCACCACTGCTAAATAGGTGATTAGATTGTTTTCCAAGTAGCCTGTTCATCACTGATTAGATGAGAAGCATCTTGACACACATTTGTCATTTAGGAGGCAGCTTTTCGAGATTGACTTTTACTAGCCACCTTCTTGATATCAGTGCAGCTCTCAACTTTAAATAGCTTTTATCAAGCTGATGATAGAGATTGTACTTTTAGGGATGTCAATTTTAGAGAATCCGTAGAACATTATCCTTTTATTTTTGCATTTTAAATCCAGCATATTTAATATCACCTTTTTACAAAATTTAGATTTTGTATTTGCTAGATATTTTTGCTGGGAAAATGAATTTCCTGGGCAATAGTTACAACTTATATAATGCCAGTTATTACAGAAAAACTGCACTCCCATATAATCACTTACATGGTCAGGAGACCACAGCAGGCAGAGAAACACACTGGCTTCCCTAACTACTGCTGCAATTTCGTGAGACTTAGCAATTTGCCCAGTAGTTCACTGCTGTTAAAGAAACCCATGACTCCTGGGAAGACTGAGATAAAAGACAGCATGCTTGGATCAGGGATATCAGGCATAAGACTTTACTTTTGGAGTGAAGGTGTGAGGCTGTGGGAAAGCGGGCCTGTGCTCCTGGTGGGAATCCATTATTTTGCTCAAATGCCCTGAATTTTTGTTTTTGTTTTCTGTGACTTCCAACAATGCTTCACTGTTGCACCAGTGAGGATGAGGAGGTTTGCTGCACTCTACCTTCTTTCTTTCACCATCCTCCCAAGTTTTGTCACTGGGGAGAAGATGAGAATCATGAGATCTTTAAGTTGAGACCTAAACATACAAGAATGTTGAGTATTATATATCAATTTCACATTATGATATATGTTACATAGTAAATTTTTTTCATCTGAAAAGGTTACACACTCTTGAGAATGTCCAGCTGCATTTGGGTAAACTGTTTACATAAATGATATATGCAAATGCCATATCAGAGTTCATCTGTAAAGATATCCATCCCATTTGCAGCCACTGCTCAATTCTCTGTAGATAAAGTTCTTTAGATGCATCTTGTGCATATTTCTTTCCCCTTCCAGCAATGACATCTTGATAGACTACTGGAAAAGTATGATTTTGGAATTGAGTTCCTGGAGGACACATGAAATCTTATTTTTATTTTTTATTGCATATTAAGAATAGAAATTATATACAATAAATATCTAAGTAGTGATTAATCACAAGTTTTACTAATTCATATTTATAAATATGTTAGAAATGTTTATAACTACTACAGAAATTATAATATAATCTAAAGTACATAATGTATATTTCAAAGACATCCAATAAATTTAGAATCTACTATAGATATTAATTAATTTTCAGAATATTCATGTTGAATTGTGAAGTTGATCTAAAGGAATTGTCCTTGTGATTACAGGTTTGGCTACAAAAATACGGCTACCTTCCACCAACTGATTCCAGAATGTCAGTGCTACGCTCTGCAGAGACCATGCAGTCGGCTCTAGCTGCCATGCAGCAGTTCTACGGCATTAATATGACAGGAAAAGTGGACAGGAACACAATTGAGTAAGTAATGTCCTCCAGATTCCTTCTTTCATTGATTCTTCAGCCCAATTCAATTGTCACAAAAACTGCACACATTCTACAACCATTATTGGGATATTTTGATTCATGAACTTTTCTTTGGGATGTATCCTATTTCCAAACCCTGTCTTTTGAGGGTTCTCATAACATGTAATATACAAAGTCAGGTTGTTCACATTGTTTTAACAACACATTTTGAAGCAGGAAAGAAAATATGAGCAAGAGTCAAATTAATGCAGGGTTGAAGACATTATATGCCGTGGCAATTAGTGATTGCTGCTCTGTGTGGTTTGTACAAGTCGTTGTTCACATCTCTACGAAGTGTTATCCTGTTAGCAGCTTCACATTGGACGGGATGGGATGCATATGTTTAAACACTCGGAAGTCAGAAACAGTACAGATAATGTTCTTATGTTCGGCTGGTAGGGAAAATTCAGAAATGGACTATTAAATGCTTAGTAAGTTTCTATAAGTGACAGCTCACTAAATGAGATAAATAAAATAATATTTTTCACTGGAAGATGTCTACTTTAAATTTCTCAGTGACAAAGGACTTGTTCATGCCTCATAATAATAGTTGTGAAATTTATTGTTTATCCAATATTCCTTCTTCCATTGTCTCAACAAGTGGTTCTTCAAGTGTACACTTCCTGAAAGACGACAAAGACAAAAGTTATTACCTCTTTGATAACGTAAATAAGCATGTTCACAGGCATTTAGTGGCATAGTATTTTTGTCACTGGCTCCTAGAGGTTGAGCACTAGTATGAAGCATAATTATTGGTCCTCTACTACAAAGGAGGGATATATTTTTCCCTGTGTAGGCAGGCAAAAGTCTTTTGTGGTCTTAGAACCCTTGACACTCACAAAGTGAATATATCCCTGTTATTTGATTATCCTGCATTAACCTTCACAGTAGACAAAAATACAATTTTCTCTCTATTTCCTGAGAAGAGATGCTCAATATCACAGGTCAAATGAAATGTAGAAAAATTACACAACTCAGGCCTTTTTGCATCTTGGGGAGGTTATCTTCTGGATGTGTCAAGAGATATCATTCATTTTTCTTTTAAAAATGAAATATCTTGACTCAAATAAATTCTGACCCATCAAACTAATTCTACATTTAATACTGAAATTTTATTTTCTTTTCTAATGCTCACATAAGGCTGTATCTCTATACAAGAGCTCATAGGATTTATCCTTTAAAATTAAACTTCAATTTGAGTTTTAAAATTTATGATCTTAACCCTCATAGTGTTTTTAATTAGATGAATAAGTACTGACTAGTTCAGACCTTGGGAAGCAAAAGTCAACAATAAACCACATTCTGCAAAAGTTAGAAACCTCACATCAATATTGGGGATAGCTCAAAAATGCAGACCTGAATGCTTCTAGTCATTGTAATTATCTATTCATAGAGACACATCAGACATTTCTTTTAGACTATAAATATCCATCCTCACAATTAAAGGTAGCCTTTGCTAACAAGGAAAAACCAGGTCTTGTGTTTTGTCTCTGGGTATTATACAAAATTGTTCCAGCAAATCTCCACTCTTCATGTCAATATTCTACTGCTCTCTAATAAAGAACCATTAGCTTCTGTTTCATTTTCTTGAAATTCTAAACACATTATTTAAAAAATGCAAGCAAAATGAGTATTTTGAAAACAAGTTACATTTTCCAAGTGTTCCAGTGTCAGGAAAAAATGATGAAATACCTACCTTTTACTAGATATTAAAGTTAAGAAACTTAAATCTTTTAAGGGAGAACAATCTTTTAAGGGATCTGGAGAGATGGTTCAATGTTGAGGATGCTGACTGATCTTGTAGAAGACTTGATTTCAATTTACAGCATGCACATCAGGAAGCTCACACCACATACAACTCCAGCTCAAGAGGATCAGATGTCTTCATGCGAACCCACACATACAGTAACATTCCTCTCTCTCTCTCTCTCTCTCTCTCTCTCTCTCTCTCTCTCTCTCTCTCTCTCTCTCTCTCTCTTTCACACACACACACACACACACACACACACATACATACACACATACAAGTAAAATTAATCATTTAAAAACATTAAGAAATAGAATCCTACTTAGGTCATGACCTGTTTCTCACAGTTTTGACTAACTGGTCATTCAAACGTTGCAGATGGTTAGATGTAATTTCCTAATACCTAATGCAGCTAGAGAAAGACAGGTGATCATAACAGGCTTAGCTGGTCCCTGTTATGTGAAAAGAGATAAGTTTTTTTTTCTTGTGGTCTAGAGGGAGGGTATAAACATTATGGAGGTATAGAGGACATCAATGTTTTACTTATTATCCAATGACTCAGATTCCACACCAAGAGTAATGAGCCTGTCAGTATGTAGGATATAAGTAGTCTTTCTGTGATACAGAACTGGAGATTAAGAACAACCTGATAGATAATTCTTATCTTAAAACAAAATGAGTGTTTCTGTTTGCTTTTTATTTACTTGCTTGTTTGCTTTTGTGTATTACAACTTTATTCTTACTGAATATCAATGGTACAATTATTTTGTTTTTATTATTTGAATACACAATGCATCTTTGCCGTTAACAAATGTTAACTTGGCTGTTATTGCCAGGTGAAATTCCAAAAGTACTGTTAGCCCTTCTTGGTTTTGTCTCTTCCCTCTCTCTTCTATGAAGCTCCTCCTTTGCTCTAGAGTGCTTGGCCTTATTCCTTATTGTTGCTGAAACTGGAAGCCCCATGACTTCATTTGCCTGCTGTCGATTTTTTCAATGAAATAGCTAATCCTGAGGTGGACTCAGGTTACTCATATCAAATATTTTGAAGTATAAGCCCTCTAATCGTGCTATGAAAGCATTGTTCTGTGCTTTTTTTTAAATTCAAATGAGTATATAATGACAATCTTGCGGAAACTTCAATCTACTACTTTACATAGATTATAAGTTATGATAATCCACACCTGTAATATCATTATATAGGAAGTGGAAGCAGGATGATTGACATAACTCTGACACCATTTGGGCCTACATAGTGAGTTTCATGAAAGTTCTGGATAGAGAGTGAAACCTTGTCAGGAAAAACTGAGGCCAGAGAGATGGCCCCTCAGGTAAGAGTGTTTGCTGCTTGTCTTAGTTACATTTAAATTACTGTGACAACACACCATGACTAAAGCAACTTATAGAAGAAAGAGTTTATTGGGCCATAGAGTTTCAAATGGTGAGTCCATGACTGTAGTAGAGAGCACAGTGGCAAGCGGGAGAATTGCTGTGGATCAATAGCTGAGAACTTTCATCCTGAGACGCAACCAAGAGGCAGAGAAATAACTGGCAATCCTGTGGGCTTTTGAAACCTTGAAGCCTACCCCAAGGGACACATCTCCTCCAGCAAGGTCACACCAACCAACTCTCCCCAGGCTTTCCACCTACTGCAGACCAAGTATTTACATAGATGAACTATGGAGGCCATTTTCAGTCAGACCACAACTCTGCCCAATGATGATGATGTGAGTTCAGATTCAATACCTACATAAGAGTTTGAAATCAGCCTACGCTTGATAGAGCCTATGTCAAAACAACAAAGAGAATGAAATACTTACTGCACTTTCAGGCATATTAAAACACGCTCAGTCATTTGAGAAGTGATCTATATATGTTATCAAGCCACTTATTCCTTCATGGTCACTTATTTATATATTCAATTCACTGTTATTTATGTTTGCTTGTTCACTTGAGACTGCATTCCTTTAGCCTCCAGACTTCCTCCAACATTCTATGTAGCCACACTCTCCTTGCTCTCATACATCCTGCTTCCCCATCCTGAGTGCTGGTCAAGGCAAGTGCCCCTTTATCCAGGTCTTATCTTAAAGATGAATTTTATTTTAATTAGGTTTGTGTATGAGAGTGTGTGTAGGGAAGCATGTGCACATGACAGAAAGTACCCCTGGAGCTTTAGTTATAAACTATTGTTAGCTGCTCGATCTGGGTGCTCGGAACTGAACCCAGGTCCTTTATAAAAACTATAGGTACTCACAATCACTGAACCATCACTCTAGCCCTTCATTTGATTTTAAATTAAAAAAAAAAACAACTGTGAGTTCGAGGCCAGCCTGGGCTACCAAGTGAGTTCCAGGAAAGGTGCAAAGCTACACAGAGAAACCCTGTCTCGAAAAACAAAAAAAAAAAAAACAAAACAAAACCTCCCTTGGAAAACAGACATGTGGTACAGTTAATCTATAATTCCTCGGTGATTAAAAGTGATTATTCCAATTGCAGTAATCCTTGTATTATGTTGAAGTAATTAACCAGTTCCAAGTAACAAATTTAGGTATTGCTTTGAAGAGAATATTTTATTACTTTTTTGCTCCTTAGAACTGGCATTGGAAAGAGAGTAGCATTTGTTCTCCACCCAAAACTAAATCCATTGTCTAATAGTATAATAATTCTTTTAATTGTAAGTTGGTTACCTAATTTATTTAAAAATGCTCACTTAAATTCCTTAATGCAAAGATAATCTTATAGTCTTATATTTTATCAAGTTGAGAAATACAAGCTCATTATGGAGGGCATGCCTGATTTTTTCTAATTTTAAAAGTAATTGTTTTTGCTGGTTCATCTTTAATGTACACACAGTAGTGTATAGTGAAGAATGCTTGATGAAAGAGTTATCTCTCACAGTGGTCAACATTCTCTCCACTTCCATAGATATGACATGTTTATGTGTGTGGATATATGTGTGTGCATGTTCAATAGTTCTGATGATCTAAATAATGCCACATAACTTATTCAACACATGCTAATATTCTTTTATTTGAACTGTTTTAACTCTAAGTAGCATTTCTAAAAATTTAGAAAATGAAGTAGTACTTAAAATCCTAGTTTTTTAATTGAGATAGTTAATTATATATACCAAGAACAATACTGTTTCATGCAGTTATCAATACTTTTTATTTTCATTCTTTTGTCCAGGTTGTGAAGTTGATACCCTAATAGTAATACTTCTAAATTTAGAAAAAAAAATGCAACCTTTGGTAGTTAAAGTTTTTTGTTTTTGTTTTTGTTTTTTGTTTTTTGCTTTTTGTTTTTTTGAGAAAGGGTTTCTCTGTGTGGTTTTGGTGCCCGTCCTTGATCTTGCTCTGTAGACCAGGCTGGCTTGGAACTCACAGAGATCCGCCTGGCTCTGCCTCCCAAGTGCTGGGATTAAAGGCATGCACCACCACCGTCAGGCTGTTATTTTTTTTTTTTTACTGTCCGAGTATGGCAATACCTTTCAAACAGAATTGCTTTAGTGGACTGTATGTCGCTGCAGACATATGGTTGGTAGGTAAGTCAGAGGCTTAGAGCTTATCCAGAGGGTAACACATTAATAAGTGCAAGACAACAGACAATTGTTCTTTTTGATGATTGTGGTGACCATTACATTTCTTCCTTGTCATCATGTACTTCAGTATTTTATCTTTGCACTTTCTGTCTTGTGAGTTGTACATGTGTCCACGGAGGCAGTTAATGAGCTGATATATGTAGAGAAAATAAGCCCTCAATGTTGGAGCTGTGTAAAATTGCTTTTAACAATCTTTTTATACCTGGTAGATCTAGTCCTCTCCATGATGATACAGCCTATGAATGTTTAAAATAATAAAAGAAGCATATTTGAGTATTCCTAGAAAGATCTGGGGACAGCTCTAAACAGCAGCTATCACTCTTCCATTTCATCAAAATTTGGAATGTCTGCATGATGAAAGCATGTCTAACCTATTGCAAAATATTTTTGAAACTAATTTTTCTCTCAGTAAATGTAGATCCAAGTACACCAAACTAATGGGGTGTCCAGTTACATCTGTGCGAGCTGGCTGTCCCTTCTCTCCCTGATCAGTGCTGTTTCCAGCAGCGTTGCTGCAGTGTCCCAGATACATGGACCACAACTGTGCTGAGCAAAACCTGCCTGTGCGGAACCATAATCACAGATATTGGAAAGGCTGAAGCTACAAGATTGCTTGGGATGAGGATGTCCAAACTAACCTCAGGAGCATTGCAGAACCCTTTATCCATCACTCAGTGACAGAGCACTGCCTAGAATTCACAGTCTGGGGTGTAAAAACTGATGTAATTATAAAGCCGAATTTTACTAAAGCTAATGGGCACTGTTTTGGTTGGAGAAGACGTACATTACATATTTATGTAAAGTGTGTTATTTTTGAGCTGGTGGATATTTATGAAAAATGTGAGAACCAATAGCTGTTGTAATATCTATTATGAAAGAACTAGAAAGATCTGATATTTGAATGGAATGCTCTCCTGAACATAAAAGTAGAAGTCAAATTGACTCGAAATACTCATTGCTACAGTGTTTAATCTTGAAACCTAGGGGGGCCTCCCAGGAGTTAGGAGTTAGAATGCATCCTATTTGACTTGGAAAGGGAGTGATTTTCCTCATAACTATGTTGTTGAGACTAGAATGCGCTTGGTTATATCTGATGACTGTGATATCCCCATTACTCTGAGTATAATAATAATAATAATAATATACTTTTAATCTTTACCTTAAAGATGTTACCTTTATTGTAATGTAAGTAATTGCATTGGTGTATGTTAATATTCTCATACATGGGTAATATAAGCAAGCTACTTCTAAAAAGTTAATTCACTTTCAGTAACGAAAGTTTTCGTTTTTTAATTTTGAAGTCATTCTAGAGTAAGCATGCATCAGTTTTGTAATGAAACAGCAACAAAAGCAATAGGAGAGCACACTAAAAATAAGCAAGTAAATACATACATTTCGAGATCAGCGTTGTTCTGTTTCTTCATCTGTCCTGGAATGGTTTTGACTTTGCTGGCCTTGAATTCACAAACCCGTTTTAGCCTACCCTCCAGGTGGCAGGATATTGAGTGCACATGAAAGTACCCGATTATATAGTGCATATTCATAGGCAGCCATTTCTAAATTCAAATCCATTTAAAATATTTTAAAAACTCACATATGTGGTGAAACACAGAAAACCAAATTATTTTCATATCCTTTCTGATTCATGTAGCAACAAGAAGATTGGGTGTGATCTTGATAGTAAAGAGGCTAAAGAACAGAAAAAAAAAATGTATTGTGAGGGAAACTGTTGAAAATCCTTAACAACTTTCTGCTTAAACAAGACTCAAGGGTAGGTGATAAAGATGACAGTGATCAAATGCCATGCCCTAGAAAGCAAGTTCGACGGCGACACATGACTGCACAGTAAAGTTAGTACACGGAAACAGCAGTTCCTTTTAGGGCTGAGCTTCGTTCGGTGATGCTGAACTGCTTACTCGGAAAAATACTTTATAACTATTGAATTTGATTATCATTGGGAAAATGAATAATGATTGAAAGTAAAGGAGAAATAGGAAATTGCTCGCACCATATGAACAAGCAATATACTGCTCTCAAGGCTGGAGGAGAAGGACTCTGCCATAGTGAAACCTGCCATTAGACGGAGAATATAAAAATCTATGGAGCTGATGGAGGGATGGTTCAGCAGCTAGGAGCACTGCTGCTCTTTGAGAGGATCTGGGTTCAATTCCCAGCAACTTTATGGTGGAACACAATCATCTGTAACTCCAGTTCCAAGGGATCCAACTCTCTCTTTTGACCCTGCAGGCACCAAGCACACACAAAGCACAGAGACATCTACTCAGGCAAAACATCCATATACATGAAATAAAATTTAGAAATATTATGTTTCAAAAGTGTTAACTCATATCCCATGCAAAAATGTGCTGAAAGTCTTTGATCAAATCGTAGGATTCAAGATGGGTGTGGTGGCGCACGCCTTAAATCCCAGCAGTCTGGAGGCTGAAGCAGGTGAATCTCTGTTAGTTTGAGGCCAGCCTGGTTTACAGAGTGAGTTCCAGAATAGCTAGGGAGGGCTGTTACACAGAGAAATCCTGTCACAGAGGAAAAAATATTAGGACCGTAGAATTATTTTCTTTTGCCAACAGTATTATAATGAGATGCTATAATGAAATATATTGAGATATTGTCATGGAATAGTATAATTTTAATTATATATTATCAAATATTATACTAAGGTATTATAATAGAATATTGTACTCAGAAATTATAATGGAAAATTAATCTGAAAATAAAAAACACAACACACAGAATGTTAGCATACCTTAGTGTCATTTCATAGATAACGTGAGGAAGTGAATATTTGTTCAAGGTTGCATACTTTTCAACAGTGGATTCTATATAGAAATTTCAAGTAACTTCTTTTTGTGCAGTTATCTCAAAGTACATTGGAGGAAGTAAATGCACTAAAGAATTTGAATAGTAACACAGTAAGTGTTAACTCTTTCTGAAAATGTATGACATCTATTTAGATTTAAATTGTAAGAACATTGAACATGGACCATTTCCCTTTGTGGGTTGCTGTTTCCCTTTTGAAATCATTAAGAGGAATTTCTGAAAAATACCCATTCTTTTTCAGCTGGATGAAGAAGCCTCGATGTGGTGTACCAGACCAGACAAGAGGCAGCTCCAAATTCAACATTCGTCGAAAGCGCTACGCACTAACTGGCCAGAAGTGGCAACACAAACATATCACTTACAGGTACAAGCACTCTGCCCTACCCCAACCTTGTTTCATTTCTGTTGCTTTGACATTTTGTTTGATACATGTTATTTTGTGAACATGGACTACATGTAAGTAATCAATGATGTTATATTGTCCTAGAGATTTTTCAAGTGGAATAGGAAGAGAATAAAATGGATTTTAGGGGACCTTGCAGATGTTGTTTGACATTGTTGGTCTCTTGTATCTTGTGCCTCACAACTTCCAAAAGATGTTAATATTCTGAGGGACTTTTAGATGAGGGTTCTAATTCGGTGCACTCTCTTCAAGTATTTAATAGCCTAAAAAAATAAGCAAGTAATATAATCTATAAGTCTACCTTTTAAACAAAATGCTTTTGAAATAAATGGTTAGTAACTGTGGTAGCACTATTAACATTTTGCGTTTTATTTCCTGTGGTAATTATTGAACTTGACATCCTTTTTTTGTTGTCTTCAATGATGCAAAATTATATCCAACCTAAGATTACCACTACTTTATTGGAAAATTTTATGCTTTTTTTTTAACCCACTGACCTACTACTACTCCAAGTATGGACAAAGAACAGTGCTCAGCCCATGGAGATAACAACAAATAAAGCCCAAGGACCCTGTTCTTCCTTAGAGAATACATAGCAATGTCGAGGTTAAACAATTGTATAAATGTGATGTCTATATGAAAAGGAAGAAACAAGACATACCCTCAAAACATCAGAATTGTCCTAGGCATTCTAGAAACCCAGGGAGTCTTCTCAATGAAATGCCTCTTCTTAGCCAAGGCCCATAAGAATATTTGAAAGAAATTGTTAAGCCAATGGTTAGAAGATGAAAGACACTTTATGGAGAGGATATGCCAAGAAATACTTCAATCAAATTATATGAGTAGAAAAGGAATTTTATAATTCTTGTTATTTTCACAAATAGGCCTTAATGAAATGTTTAAAGATAACACTAAAATGATTTGTTTTGGGTTTTTTCTATATACAATTGGAATATGGTATTTGTACTTACTTTGATTATTTAGAGGAGAAACATTGCTCAGAATTACTTTATAATCTCATATTGTCCTCCCAGATAGAATGAGACTAGATAATTATTTTATGTAAATTATGTCAATTGCTCTTCAGATAAAGACAAAAAAAACTTGGCTCTTTCCATGAAGTTAGTATTCACCGACATTTAATCTTTTCATGGGGTTATTCATTTTGCTTCAGAAACATTTCATACCACTACACTATCTGTCCTTGGAAAAGAAAGTTGAATATTATTCCCAGAAATTAATATGGAATACTGTTTATATCTTCCTTGCAAGGGCAATATTAATGCCTGCTGTCCAATGAGCTATCCTTCTTTCTCTAATGAACTTCATATCAAGTAGTACATAGTGAGAACTTTGGAGACTGATTGAAAAGCACTCATATACTTCATACAAGACTGATTGAAAGCAATTCTTTGCCTCATACAGTGACAGAGAAGGTATTTAGAAAGGTAATAAACATTAAAAATATGAATTTGAAACATTGAAACTACTGTCACTCATACTCTACATTTCTATTCATAAAGCCTAGCATAATTCTAAGCAATTTCAAAATAATTAAAATTATGGCCATCTTAAATAATGGAAGATTTCATTTTCACAACAATTTTAAACCAATGAATCTTGAACAGCACAGTTTCTGCTGTTGGGAGTATTGTGTTTAGTGTGGTACATTTGCAGATCTGATGATCCAGAATCATTTTTGATTCCTGATGGAGGAACTTTGGTTTAATGGTTTGAACTACCATTCACCCTGTCTGGTTCCATGTATTTGGCTGGTATATGATGTCATGTGTCTATATCTACAATATTATACAAGTACTTTCAGTGCCCTAAAAATCCCATGTCCTACCAATTTATTCATCTCTTTTCCCTCCAAAACCCTGGCAATTACTTATTTTGTTATTATCAATGTGAGCATGGATTTTTATGTATGGCCTTTAGTTGTAGTCTGGCATAATGTCTTTTCCAACTCACTTCTCCTTACTGAGATGCATCTAAGGATTCTTCACATCTTTTTTGTGACTTGATAGCTCATTTGTTTTTATTACTCAATAATAACCCATTGTAAAGATATCACAGTTTACTTAGTTAGCCATCTATTGAAACCATCTCAGTTGTTTTCAGGGTTTCTCAGGAATGTGGGTAGTATAAACATTTTTGTGCAAGTTTTTTGTGTGTATATAAATTTCTAGATAATTTGAATAAGTACCAAGGAGAGTGATTTTTTATTGTATATTAAAACTGGGGTGAGCTCTTTATAAAACTGCCAATATAACTTTTCTTATTGGCTCGATGTTCCATTTCGAATCATCACCAGTGTTACCTGAAAACTCTGTTTGCCTATAATCTCTCTGACATTAGGTTTAAGGGTTGGAAACTGTAACTGATTTGACAGCATTTCTTAGTTAGGGTTACTGTTGCTGTGATGAAACACCAAAAGCAACTTGAGGAGGAAATGATTTATTTGGCTTACATATCCTTAGTCCATTGAGGGAAGTGAAGGAACACAAATCTAATGGGAACCTGGATGCAGAAGCTGACACAGAGGACACAGGAGTGTGGCCTATTGGCTTGCTCCTTCTGCCTTCTTCAGACTGCTTTCTTATAGAACTCAGGCCTAACAGCTCAGGGTTGGCACCAAGGACAATGGGCTGGGCCTTCCCATAGAAATTGCTAATGGAGAACATGCCTAACAGGCTTCCTTACAGCTGGATCTTAGGAGGCATTTTCTTATTTGAGAGTCTCTCTTACTAAATGTATCTGGCTTGTCAGGTGGCCATAAAACTAGCTAGGACACAGATGCAGAATTCTCATTGTTCATGGAGATGGAGATAATGTACTTAGATGGTTTCTTTAGTGAAATATAATATTCAGCATCATCTGCACTTGCATACTCTCAGAATATCTACTTTGGTGAAGTGTCTCCTCAGATTTTCTGATTAATAACTAGATGGCTTTCTTGTTTAAGAGACATCATTTCTTCAGTAAGCCTTTAATCAGTGGTATCTTCAACATCTTCTCTTGTTTTGTGGCCTACACTTCCATTGTCTTTGTGATTGGTTTTAGAGCAGTTGTTTTAATTCTAATAATGTCCAACTAATTTCCTTTCTTTGTTATTATATGTAGTGTCTAAAAATATACTATCATGGCTTACTGTAGTGAGATGCCTGGGCTCTGGCGGTGAAATATTGACCTGGCTGTTATTGTGTATTTATCCTGAGTGAGATTGGTGCCTAGTCCAATTGTCATTAGAAACTTCATCTTGCAGCTGGTTGAAACAAATGCAGAGACCCACAGTCAAACATTGAGCCAAGCTCATGGAATCCTGCTAAAGAGTGGGGGGAAGGATTTGAGGAGTCAGAAGAGTCCAAGGACATCAGACAAAAACTCACAGAATCAACTAACCTGGGCTCATAGGAGCTCACAGAGACTGAACTGACAACCAGTGAGCCTTCATGGGACTCACCTAGTCCCTCTGCATATATGTGACAGTTATGTGGCTTGATCTTCTTGTGGGACTCCTAAGTGTGAGAGCAGGGACTTTGACTCTTTTGCTGGCTTTTAGGACTCTATTCCTCATACTGGGTTTCTTTGCCCATAGTTAATACAAGAGGAGGTACTTGAGTCTTACTGCAACTTGATATGCCATGTGCTATGGATATCCTTGGGAGGCCTGCCCTTTTCTAAATAGAATTTGAGGAGTAGATGATGGGGAGTGAAGGCAGAGGGATGGTGGGGAAGGACTAGGGAGAGGAGGGAGGGAAAATTGCTGTTGAGATGTCAAGTAAATAAATAAATAAGAAAAATATACCATCAAAACCAAGGACATGTATATGATCCTTTGACTTATTTTCTAGTCATTCGGTATCGTTCATTACCTCCTGAGTGCTGGAATTACAGGAGTGCAACACAGTGCATGTTTATATAGTAATGATTAACAAATCCAGGACTTCCTCCATGCTAGCTAAAAACTCCCAATTGAGCTACATCCCCCACTCTATTTTCAATTACTTTTGAAACAATATGTAAGATGTGCACATTAACTACAACTGTATTCACTCATGTAGATGCATATGTGGATGTGTGTGTGTTTGTGTGTGTATACCCCCTCTTCCCCAGCAATATTGCTGAGAAGATCTGCATTGTTCAGACTATATTCCTTTCCCTCATTTGTCTTAGATCAGAAGTTGACTTGTGTGCATTAGTCACTCTCTGGGCTTATTCCTTACTTCCATTCCTGATATGTCTGATCCAATCAATATCGTACTATCTCAATTACTAACTTGAAATTACTGTAATATCTAGTGGTTTGAGTTGCCTGCGTATGTTTTTTGAGTATCATGTTGATTATGTTGAGTTTCATAAATTTCAACATCAACATCAAAATCCATCTGTTCATATCTATAAAATAATTGAATATGATTTTGATTAATAATGCATTATGTCTACTGATCAAGTAACAAAGAACCAAAACCTTAACATATTGAGTTTTCCTATCCACAAACATGACTACTTTACTACTTATTTATATTTTACTCTATGTCAGAATTTTCTACTTTTTCTCATATAGATGGTATATATATATATATATATATATATACTAAATATTATATACAAAAGAGTAATTCATTAGCATTTCATTTTATTGCAGGCTTAAATATTGTTTTCACCTACTTTGTTTGCTTTGCGGTATCTAAGAAAGAAGTGTATTCCTTCTCTAATAATTTTCCTTTCTTTATGTAGATCTGAATTTCTGATCTTATCTCTGAAGAAGTCTTAAATTTCTTGTCAGAAAAGCCTACTGACAAGAATTTCTTAGTTTTTCTTTGAACAAGTTATTTTTTCTACTTCACTTTTGAATGCTAATTTCACTGGATGCTGATTTCTAGGTTGGTAGTTTTATTATTTATTATCTGAACACTTTAAACATTCTGTACTGCTTTCTTCTTGAATTTTTTAAAAAGAGAACTCTAATTATAATTGTTTGCTTTGCTCCTCTACAGATATGATTCTGGTATGGTTGGGGTTGCTCCTTCATGTGCTCTGAGTTTCATGGATCAGTAATTTGGTTTCTGTTGTTAATGTTGAAACATTCGTAGACATTATTACAGTTGCTCTTCTTCCTTTGAGTGTAATCTTTACATCTATTTCCCCAGAGTTCCTGGATTATCTATTCTCGATTTCATCTTTTCTTTGCTGTACCTTGCAGTTGAGGAAGTTCCTGCAATTCACTGATTCTTTCCTTGGCCGTAATGAGAATATCAGAGGTAGTCTTCATTTGTTTCATATGCAGTTTTATATCTGCCCTGCCCTTTCTTCATTTCTTACAGTGTCTGTTACATGGCTAAAGCACACACACACACACACACACACACACACACACACACACACACACACACACCTTATAATTTTTGTTAGCTACATTTCTATTAAGATTCTAACATATTGGTGAGTTATTTTGAATAACTGGTTTGATAATTCCAGAGTTTCAGCTGTTTCTGAATGTTTTTGTGTGGCTGGCTTTTTCTATTTTGACTGTATGTTCTCCAATATGGAGATCATGCAATAACAAAGTTCTTGACTAGAGACTATGTGAGACAAAAAATACAGCCAGGAAGTTATCTATAAACCTAGAAAACAATGAATAATTATTGATAATTTATGTCAGAGAAAGCCTTTCACTCACATAAATAATTTAAGCCTCCCCAAACCGTAATCATCTTGAGAAAAGAGTATTACAATGTTTCTCTATCTTAATTCAATTCCAAGGCATTTATCTTTGTTCTTACCTCCAATATCAAAGGTGTAACTGCAGTCTAACTTTGAAAAAAATTTACCACCATAAGAAAAATTAAAGTAGCAACCTTCCTATGTGTCATTATCATGAAATTAACTGGCACAGTACATAATGATGTTAAGAGTAGAAATCCTACGTCTTCATAGCTAATAATGCCAGGTCACCCCAGTGCCAATTATTCTGATAAATAAAAATTATACACATTTTGCTTTAATCAGTTTAAGGTTGTCTTGTTTGGGGTATGATTTTTAGATTAAAGTTCCAAATATTATCAGAAAGAAAATTTGAAAAACATGGTGAGATTCTTCATAAAATAGCCAGATAAACACTTGGGCAAATAAAATTCATTTTTCAATGATTGTTCTCTTTATCTATAAAAGGAAATATGCAAGTAATGATTTTTCAGTTAAATCAGTTTCATTACAGTTGCCAAAAATGTTAGTATTCCTCTTTTTATAGTACTGCCTTTTCATATGGCTAACATTTAGTTATTTGTGCATTACATATTAAAAATTTAAGGCTACCCACTTTATTTTGCTATCATGACACCATGATCTCTCGGTGCCACTGTTATTTCATTTATCAGGTAATATAAATGGTGATTAAGAAGTACATCCTTCAGTGACATCTTGTTTTCTGAGTCTCCTGTATTAATCTCCCAACATGGATCTGAAGTACACATGTATGGTTGATATTTATTCATAAATAATATCACATATAGCATGGTGAAGCTTATTTTTGCAAGCGCCTCTGTGTATGGCTTCTAAAAACAGTGACATTTTTCAAGTTTTAGCATGTACAATGCGTGTTAGTCTATATTGTCCGTATTACTTTCTTCTTCTTGTAGCCTGTAATAACTCACCTAAAAGTGTTACTAATGTAACGACACTTGTTTACATCATTTAAGGTTACCGTTTACTTGAAATAAAATTCATTTCTCCATTATACATTGAATTACTAATCTCCACTCACAGTTCTCTCAAAATATACAGTAAAACATGTTCTCTGTGTCTCCAGTACCGTCATTCTTAGCATGTTCCTTTCGATCCTCTGTGTGAGTTAGTGACATAATTTTCCCTATCATTATTCCCCTGTTATACATTTTCCATAAGGGCTAGTCATATTTGTAATGGAAATACAGCTAGAGGGCTTCTATGCTTACACCTTTCTAGAATCTTCCTTCTATAGAATATTATCTCCTCTCTCATTTCATGACCTTCTCTTTTATGTTGATTTTATAACACCTCACTCCAGCTCTCTTTTTTAAATGGACAAAATTAGTTTGGCCTCCTACTGACTATTACTTTGTCTAGACACTAAATGATAAGTGTCTTTGGTCCATCCTGTCAATAAAGCAACATTTAGCATCTTTCATTTGCCTACTCACTCAGTTGTCACCGTAGATTATCACTGTTTTTGCTCTTTAAATTTCCTATGTCTTGTTACAAAAGTATACAAGCTCCCTTGGAGTATAGTCTAGCATCTAGATAAGTACTGTTCTGCAGTAAATCCTTGCAAATCCCATGCCGTTAGCACTTTTGCAGTCCCACAGTGTATAAAGAGGATAAATGACTACTAGTAATTTAATTTGCAAAAAAATAAGAATGATGCCTTCACTTGGCATGCATCTCTTCTGCCTCACGATGGGAAATGAGTTCTATCTAACAAGCTGCAAAGACCTTGATGCCTCCAAGTAGATACTTCCTCTTTCTCAAAATATAATGTAGGACACTCTGCTGAATGAAGGATAAGACTAGCGCAAACTGAAAAACAACCATCCCTGAGCAAGCAGAAAGCAGTTGCTTCTATCCATCCTTCCACTGGTGTTAAATTTAGTTGTGTGTGGACCCTCAAAATTGCATCCTGTCTCTACTGGCACCACCTGATCCATTGTTTCACCATTTCCCATTTGGGGGTTTGCAAAAGTCCTTAAAATCTTCCATTTCCGCATTTTCTCTGCCACAGGATACATTCCTCATTGTGGCTCGAATCATTTATTCATGGCAGAAGTCCAATGTCAAGAGTCATTCCTAATGCTCTATTTGCTCTTCCTACACTCAAAACAATATATAAAAAGTGAAGGGGAAGGCACTGACAAAAATATAATATTTAAAAATTATGAGCAAAATAAGCATACAAATGATTTTAATGCTATGTAGAAAAAAGTTTCTGTCAACAGTAAATGCTAGAGATTTGTTCTAAAAGTTCAGCATTCAGCTCAGTTCTGAGAAGAATTAAGAAAACTGAAAACAAAATAAAACAAAATAAAATGAATAAAACCCTTTGATTCTACCTTTCTCACTGCTCCAACTACACCAGCTACTTTGTGGCTCTTGGAATCTGCTGGAAAATCTCCACTTCATGGCCTTTTACCACCTCTGGCTTCCTGGATCACTCCTTGCCTCCAACCCTGTGCTGCTTGTTGGTGTTTAGTCCTTTTATATAGAATAAATAATATTCAGCAGCATTCTAAACTGTAAATAAGGTATGGACTATATGTTATAAGGAAAGGAAAGCTTAATTTTAGATGTATGGTGTATATGGACTCCAAGACAATGGACTCTCAAGAGTGTTTAGGAAAAAGCTCCTCAGAAGATTTCCTTTAAATTCATATAAATTGTAACACTTTTGTAAAGTAGGTATTAATACTCATCTCCATGTATTGTTGGTGGGATTAAATAAGGCATATGTTTGTCACACTCTTAATGCACAAATAAGGTCATTATTGTTATTAGAGCATTTGTAATGATTACATGCAATTTACTTGTATATAATCAGAATGTTACTTTTCTATTAGAAAGTACATCTCAAATGTTTCTAGTATTGAGAAATAGATCTGAAAAATAAAAATAAATTTTAGTCCTATATAAGGAATGTCATTCAGCTTAGATGCCATAACTTGGCTACATCACTATCATTGTAAATTGCAGCTCTCCCGGTTATCTTTGATGTCTGTATAGCAAGCTATATTACATTGAACATCATTGCATTTTTTAATCAAAGGTTTCACTTGGTGTAATCTTCTGTGCAGAGTATTACTAACTGAAAGGATTTGAAACCTATGAACCTTATAGTATCCATCTGTTAATTAAAAATGCATAGAGTGACTGTATTCTGCACCATAAAATTTTATATATATATATATATATATATATATATATATGTATTAGTTTCATTTATGCTGTATTTTAAAGAAATTATCAGGAAATCACATATATATATATGATTAGTGTTAAATGAATCAAAAACAGTAATTTTAATTTTGCTTCATCAATTTATATTAATGTTAGACCAGGGTGAAACTTATAATGTCAAGGTAACATTTTTATTTTTTCCTGCTTTGATTTAAATTCACAAAATTTGTAAATCTTTGTTGTAAGTTGCTATTTTATTTAGTTTTGTTTTGTTTACTGGAAAAACTTAGTTAAGAATATCAGAGCAGAATATCAGAGACCACAATAACTGGGCCTTTGTTTTAAAAACAATAAATAAAACTTACTTCATGCTGAGTTGGTGCTAACAGATCTAAGCCTAAAGATATTATTTGATTGGATAATTACAGTGATATACCTCTGCAATGATGGAAATAAAAAGGAAATTGGGGTTTTTATTTCAGCTCTAAGCTGCTGCACCTGCTTGAACACTGGGCAAACTGATTGATCTATCATCCTACCTCCCACTAGCCTCCTACATAGACCTTCTCCCTAATAGCCTTAGCACACGAATGCTCCCTTGATGATAATGAAATAACCCAGTGTAATGAACAGTGTCTATAAAGTCAATAAACATGAATAAATTCTATTTCTGTATAATACAGCCATTTTCTCTGATAATTCTGAACTAAAAAAGTGAAAAAATTGCAATAATTCAAATTACATACAAGAAGACACACTGATCATTATCTTTTCCAACTTTCAGTATAAAGAACGTAACTCCAAAAGTTGGAGACCCTGAGACCAGGAGAGCAATCCGCCGTGCCTTTGATGTGTGGCAGAATGTAACTCCACTAACATTTGAAGAAGTTCCCTACAGTGAACTAGAAAATGGCAAACGTGATGTGGATATAACCATCATTTTTGCATCTGGTTTTCATGGAGACAGTTCCCCCTTTGATGGGGAGGGAGGATTTTTGGCACATGCCTATTTCCCTGGACCAGGAATTGGAGGAGATACTCATTTTGATTCTGATGAGCCATGGACACTGGGAAATCCCAATCATGATGGTAAGTGCATCATTTCTTGTGAAGATTAATGATCCCCCTTTTATTTTAGAATGCTTAAATAATTTTCTAATTTATAAACTTAAGGTAGAGAGTCCATATATTACTTATAAAATTATAAAAGCAGTGTTGAAGGCTTTTTATATTTTAGGGAAATAATCGATCAGAATTATTACATTGTATACATATGTATGTGTTCTTTGAAGGAATAGGTATAAGTGCAAACACTGATTACATTGTGTTTGTAAATCGTTACTTCTTAAAATAATTTATAGCTTATCATGAGATATTCATCATATACACCTTAGTCCATTTTTCCATGTGAAATACACTTTTGACATATACAGTGTACTGCACTGAATATTTTATATTATCTTCAGTGCTATTATCACCATCACCCTTCTTATTTATGCCCTTTTCTCCTTCTCTTTTGTCTTTCATCTATTTCAATGGGATAGGACATGACTACGTGTTGAATTATCTTAATACTATCTATATTGTCTCATAAGCAAACGTCTTACAATTTTTTAAATCCTGTCAGTTGTCTTATTGCTATCATTATGTTCTGATACACAACAGCAGTGTAAGAGCTGGAAAATCCAATCCAAGTATGAGTTAATGTTGTTAAATGTAGGAATCCCCTTGTATAAAAATGGTCATTTATAGATTATTTTTTTAAAAAATCAGTTTTGTCAGACCTAAGAATCCTGTGACTCCTTAGGGGTCAAAGCCTTCATTCCTATAATCCACACCTAAAGACTTTCCCTTCTCACTTTTGTCAATGGTGTCCTACTACAATGTGTCTTACTTTGATGGCAACTAATCAGCTAATAAAACTCTTAATCCCTCTTTGATGAGTTAATCCTAGTCATGGAATTAAGTTTTGTTAGTTCACAAGAACTTTTAGCTGAAGGGATTTTGTTAATTACCTTGCTCTTTTAGGATAAATAGAGGTTAGTAAGGTCATGAATAGTGTAAATTTGGTAAGGCTAAATTTGAAACTAACCATCAGTTTCATAGGACAAATTAATCTACATGTTTTCCACAAATAAAATTGTGATACTAACTCGATCTTTGGAGTTAATAGTTCTGCATTTTATAATATTAAATTAGGCTTGCATTATTACTAAGTTTTCTGAAGCTAATGAGAGAATGTCATAGAATTTTTTATAGAGGAATAAAAAAAACAAAGCTTTATAGTCAAACAGATTTATGTTTAAATGTTGGTTAACTAATCATTGTTTCAAATAGCCTGCAACAAATTTGTTTTAATCTATATTGTGTAATTTATGTAGTAGGCTATGAACCCTGGAAGTAGAAGTATTTTCCATGTAGGCTGTGTTTAGAATATATTTAACTTTTTTATAACATTCCATTACTAATACTAAAACATTGGCAGACGTAGTTGAATGTTGCAGTTGCATTTATTTAGCTTTGTGGCCTCATAAATTTAAATTATCTAAATATTGCATAAATATTATATCTTTCAATCTGTCTATATTTTCTCTTAAATTACTATAATCCTCAATAAAAGCAGTATTAAACTTTAGTTCTCTGCTCCACTAGGTATCCGACAGAACATTTATAAATAAACAAGTTTACTGACAAAAACAAATGAGGATTTGATTATGTAGGAAAGGAAAATGTTTACACTAATTTGAGTGGGACCAGTACTATGAATGCTTATGTGTTTCATTTGATTTAAAAAGTTTTCCAAGAAATGTGTCAGTGAAAAAAAATCTTAAATGTAACATGACCTAATACTTACAGCTAGGTCAAGACATGTTTGACCAAATGGTTTTAAGAATACAACCTACTTTTCTTAATTTATACTGTGGATTGTGACTTAAAGTGTAATTAAAATATTCTTTTGATGTAAGCATCCAGCTGCAATCTTAAACAATCTGATATCTGGTCATTCATTTTGAGAAAAATATATTTACCAGTCAAGTAAGAATTTTTTGCTCTGGGAAGAATCTTGAAGGAAAAACTGTGCAAAATAACAGTGTTTCAGAATTGCCAGGGATTAAGGGCATGTTAATTGGCAGTTGAAAATATAATTCCATAACGATTTACTGCTTAATTCAAATTCAGAGTCTTAAGCGGCAAGAGCAAACAACCAGGTGGTGTCAGTCTGAAGTATTGATCGTTTATTACAAGAGCAGCCTCCAGCTTTGCTTGTGGGATTGGTGGATGTGAGAAGCATTCATGCAGTGTTACATCCTCGTTCCTAACAACCCATAAGACTGTCATTTTGTAGCACAGATAACACAAGGCACAATTCTGACATCTCTATTGACAAACTTTGTCTGTTCTTTAATCTAGTTCTTGAATGCCCAGGTTTACTTCCCTGGGTTGTTTTCTCCCTCACTCACAGATCTTAAGCAGCTAGAGAATATGCTGCTTGGTTTTGTGGCAAACATATGCAAATGAAGAGCCTCTTGATAAGTGCCTTGCTCATTTTCCACAGCATATTGCTCTGCTAATGAAGGCAATTTGAATTCTGTCTACCTGAAAAGAGATAAACACTGTCACAGGTCCAGTAGCCATAGACCATTGTTGCCTACTTTCTTACCAATTTGCTTATTGTCATGATGCCTTTTAAAAACACAAGCTAATGATTATTAATAGAATTACACAATAATTTTGTTAAAACATAAAAGGACATTTACATATGCATGCATCTTTAATAAAACATTGCCATTTTCAAATTTATATTGAATTTTCATTAGTGAAAAAGCTAAGTATGGGCATAGTAATTCAAAACAAAAAATATTTAGCTAGACAGACAAGATTTTTTTTTTTTTTTTGGTTTTTCAAGACAGGGTTTCTATGTGTAGTTTTGGAGCCTGTCCTGGATCTCGCTCTGTAGACCAGGCTGGCCTCAAACTCACAGAGATCCACCTGGCTCTGCCTCCCGAGTGCTGGGATTAAAGGTGTGCGCCACCACCACCCAGCTTAACAAGATTTTTTAAAAGTATTTATGGCCTTGGAGTAAGAAAATTTAACTCTAGCAGAATATTAAAATCTATTTTGAATAATATCAACATATTCTTTTCTAAGCTATGGTGTAATAATAAAAGTTTAGGTGGCATTGTCTGTTTTAAAACAAACATTATACCAATTTCTTCTGAATAAGAAGTATCTAGTACAATAAGATTTCATATCAGTCACCTACAACAGAAAAATAACCATGCCTATAAAACTATATATAAGCTTGTTATAGAAAATTATCTAGAAACTGTCAGAATTTCATTATGAACTAAGTTACAATTCTGTTAACACGAAAGTGCATTGCAAAGGTCAAGGAGGAAATACTTGCCTGGCATTAAGAAGCCGTGAGATTGATGTCCATCACAGTGTGTGTGTGTGTGTGTGTGTGTGTGTGTGTGTGTGTGTGTGTGTGTGTGTTGCAGAAACAGTTTATTGTTTGCAAGTTCATTCTCTAGTGTAAAATGGCATGCATCAAGATGATCAGCGCTGTCTAACAAATATGGAGGGGAAATGATGGTAATAATTTCATTGAAAACCAAACCTGTTAAATCTATCATTATTAAATATGAACTTAGTGACTTCTACCTCTAGGTCTGCTTTCTCATGAGTTTATCTTCTTTTATGAGTATACCTATGTGGATATCTTCATGATATAATCTTCATATGGACCACAGACAATCAATGAGGAATGGTATAATGTGTCACAGAGACACATGTTTCTTTCCTGAGGCAAACCAAGACTTTAAATCTCCTTGTTCTGTCTCCCAGCCTTTCTGTTCATCTTGCAGGTACTGCTGTTACAAAATGATTCTCAGGAGACTGTAAGCTTTTCACTCTGATCTTTGATGAAGAAAAGTTTCAGTTGACAAGTGAGCATTTGTGAAGATGCTTATTGGTCAATCCATAGTCTGTGTGATTATTATCTATGTTGTCTATCCTTAGGGTCAATGGATATGAAAAATAGTTGCTGTGACTATGTGGTAAAGGACCTTGATCAGTCCTTAACACAGGAGTACTTACTGAGTTGTTAAATTTAAAATTAATTTACTAACACATATGTTTTTAACATGTTTTACTAAAAAAAAAAGAGACTTTCTTTCAAAGTAATTAGGCATCGCATTCAAGAAGGGCATTGTTTCTTTTTTTACAAAAGTCTCTTCTTCCTTCCTAGAATGAAATTCATTTTATCATGTTTATTTCATTTTACTAAACTCATAATAAAGTTTGATACTCTTTTGAGTTTCTCAAAACCATTCAATTACTGTTGCATTATATGATTATCATGCTAAATTGAATTGGTTCTTTATTTTTAGATATTCATACAAATCAGAATAGCAGATGAACTGAAATAATTATATTGGAAAATTTTTAATTCCTGTCAACATTAAAGGATATAGGAATGGATCTTGAGTATTAATGCAGGCAAGATGGTGATCCATAATTGAGGCAGATAAAACTGAAAAGTCCATGACTAAACAAAGAATTTTACATTGTGTTTGCGAAATAAGACACAGGTGCTCTGTCAAACTTTTCATCACAGACAGAGACACACAGAGGCTCAGGCACCATCAATATATCTTCCAAAGTTGACATGGATGCCATCATTCATTCATGCCACAGTTGGGAAAGATACATTTTTTCATGAGGAGCTTTACATATCATATCTATAAGTGACATAGTTAATGTTTCTGTGCAAGTTCCATGAACTACAATTCAATCCCAGAGCCTTGGTATTAGAGAGCATTTCAGAAAGTTCATATGTTCAGAAACTGATCTTTAATGACCTATGCACAGAAGAGTTGATTTTTTTAGATACACTCTGATTCTCTGGCTAAGTTGCTTAATTACAATAAACCGTCCTTTAAATACTGTCATTTTAACAAATAATTTGCTTCCATTAAATCCCTTATGAAAACCTCCTTCAGGTTTATCTTTCCATGGGATCCTTATCCTTAACTCTAGATGATCATCACGAAAACAAAGTACTTCTCCAATTTAGCCATGTTTGA